TCTTTTTTTTTTTTTTTTCCTTCCTCTCCCCGATACGGAAATTTTTTAAAAATTTCTATCTGGACGGTTCTGTAAGGTAGTCACAAGCCTCATGATTGTCAAGCACTTAGAACATGGCTAGTCCAAATTAAAATGTGCTATAACTTCTTGCCTTGCTCTTACCAGTGTGGGCAAGGCCCTGTGGCTCTCCCCCAAGGCACACTGCAGACCTGCCTGCCTCTCCCTCCCTGCCTCCAGCACCATGGTCCAGGCCACTGTCACCTCCTGCAGAACCTCTGCAGTGGCACCTCACCCCTTGCATTCCATTTTCCACCCAGCAGCCAGGGTGCTCACCTAGAAAGGTGACTTGGATCCCATCCTTTTTCAGTGCTTCCTGTTTCCTTCAGAATGAGTGCCAGATGCCTCCCTTGATCTGGCCTCTCTCGCCGCAGCTTGCTCACCTTCTCCTTTGCTCAGTAGACTCTGACCTTTGCATTTGCTCCCCGCTTCCTTGGAGTGCTCTGCCCATAACTCATCCCTTGAATATTTTTCGGGTGTTGAGTGTTGTCACCGCCTCCAGGCAGTCATCCCTGATGATGTGATCTAAAGATCACCCCCTGCCCATCATTCTTGCCTGCACACCTGGGTTTATTTTCTCAATGACACCGACTGCTTTCTGGAGTGACCTAACTGATTTGTTGTCTGTGGTCTGTCTGCTCCCCCTGGGATGTGAGCACCATGAGACAGGGCTTTGCTGTTTGGGTTTGTTTGCCACAAAATCCCCATTGAGTGTTGGGCCCAATATGGCAGTTGCTTGGTTGCGACAGATATAAAAATAAATACCTATTTATTTATTGAATAAGTAGATTTCATCATGACATGGGAGATGTCTCCAATAGCCCAGGGTTTGGCCCCGAGTGGGTGGTAACACAGGTTACTCTTAGCTCTGGCTTTCAGTTTAAGCCCTGCAAGAGAGGCCAGTGTAGGGATCATAGCCCCAAAGAACCCCCTTCCCAGCTATGCCTGGCTGCTATGAGTCACCTCCATGAGTCACCTGCCATGAGCCCTGGGAGAATTGGTGCCCCCAGGGGAGATGGCCCTCTCCAGGAAGGCTAGGGCAAGTGCCCCAAAGATTTCTTGGGTGCAGTAGCACTCCCCACTTCCCATGCCAACGTCCTTTTCATTCATGAAGGACTTGTGCTGCCAGGAGCCCAAGCAGCCCTTTCCTGGGAGGCCTCTGCTGTCTGATTATTGAGCTGCACTGGTGGCCACAGTGGGGTCCTGGGGCCCCTGAGAGCCTCTGGGTTCTTTTGCCTCAAAGTTGACACAGAGCACATCTGGCGTGTCATGATGGGTGCACTGATGTGTTATTTAATTATCCCAACACCCTGCTTAATAGAGACCATTTTCCCCATCTCACAGTTGAGGAAGCTGGCACTCAGTGGGTACAGAAACTCACCAGGGTCCTAGAGACACAGAGGAGCAGAGCCGGGTGCCCCTCCACACCTGACACTGAGTCCTCCGTCACCAGGGTCCCAGAGCCAGAGAGGAGCAGAGGCGGGTGCCCCTCCACACCTGACTCTGAGTCCTTGGTCTCAACCACTTCTCTCTCCTTCTTGGAATGCCTGAATTCAGGCACCCCGCCAAGCCCTTTCACCTTCCGAAGCTCCAGTCTCCTCCTTTTGTGAAACGGGAATAACCCATGTGCTGCTTGCTGGCACAGGTAGTTGTGAAAGTCAAGTGCTTAGAGGCGGGGGTGGAGGAGGAAAACTTAACAATTTCCCACCTCTCTCTTGCCCTCAGCTGCTATTAATCCCAGGTGAGAGCCAGACCCAGGAGAGGCAGCTAGAGAGGCCTGTACACAGGGCAGCTCTGAACAGCCTCCTGGGGAGTGAAGGAAGGCTGGGATCGGCTGACTAGAGGCAGTTTTCTGAATCAAGAGAGGGAGCGGGAGTCAGCCCAGAGCTTAGGACAGAAAGGGTGGCACACCAGCCTGACAGAGCTGGGCCAAGTGTCCTCCTTCCATCCCCCAAATTGGTACCAAGGGTGTCCTCCCCAGCAGGGCCAGGAGGAAGTGAGGCTGGAGTGGATGGGGAGCAGAAGGAGGGTGGACTGGGCTGCAGGAGCCTGTTGGAGGTACCTGGGCCTGGCAGCTTTCTTCCTGGGCTTTAAGAACCACAAGGAGCCATTAGTTGCTGTCACTACATCTTCCCCAGACTCTCCAGAAACCCCTTCTCAAGATTTCTCTTTTTCTTCCTCCCAAATCTCATGTCAGTTCCTGGGCTGTAGCCAGAATATTCTAAAGCCTAGAAAGAAAAAGCTATTTCCTTTACTAAACCCAGCTTCAGCTCCTACAGACTGGAAGGGGGCTACCTTGGTTCAGTTCTACCTCTGGGAGTTTCTCCTTGTACGTGCTTGGAAGCCTAGTGATGGGGGAACCCTGAGTTAGAGCAGCTCCCCAGGGCTTGGACTCCAAGGGCTGACGCCAGGGGTGTGGGTCTATTTTATTCTGTTTCTTAACCCAGACAGTTGTTTGGACTCTGACTCGATACCCACTGCTGCCCCTGGCCGTGATGGATTCTGTGTGCTTTCAGTTGGAATTGGCTCTGTAAGTTCTGCCCATCAAGGATAGGCGCAGTATTCAGAAGCCAAAGTTCCAAACAGCATTAAAAACCCATGCCTTTCAGAGAATCTTTTGAGTTCTTAACCCATTTATGCCGGAGGTTGCAGTTTTTTGAATTTTTGCAATCAGACCTTGGCGATGACCTTGAGCAGTAGGATATAAATAACTCCCATGTGCTTAGCATTCCAACAGTGGAACACTAGGCATACGTGGGTTGTCATCTAAAGCAGGGGTCCCCAACCCCGGGCCACTGATAGGTACCAGTCCACTTGGCCTCTTAGGAACCAGGCCACACAGCAGGAGGAGTGCGTTTATAGCTGCTCCCCATTGCTCGTGTTACCGCCTGAGCTCCACCAGCTGTCAGATCAGCAGCGGCGCCTACTTCTCCCAGGAGCACAAACCCTGTTGTGAACTGCATATGCGAGGGATCTAGGTTGTGTGCTCCTTGTGAGAATCTAATGCCTGATGATCTGTCACCATCTCCCATCACCCCCATATTGGACTGTCTAGTTGCAGGAAAACAAGCTCAGGGCTCTCACTGATTATACATTATGGTGAGTTGTATAATTATTTCATTATATATTACAATGTAATAGAAATAAAGTGCGTGACAAATGTAATGCACTTTAATCCTCCGGAAACCATCCCCCACTCCCTGTCTCTGGAAAAATTATCTTCCTTGAAACCAGTCCCTGGTGCCAAAAAGGTTGGGGACCACTGTTCTAAACCATTGTTTATTTTCTTAAATAAACTTTTTACTTCGGAATAATTTTAGATTTACAGAAAAGTTGCAGGGATGTACAGAGCGTTCTCGTATGTACCCCTCACCCAGTTTCCCCATCATTAACGTTGTCATGACCAGGGTGCCTTTGTCAAAACTGAGGAAATGACACTGGTATATTACTATGAACGAAACTCCAGACTATTTAGGTTTCACCAGTTTTTCCTTTACTGTCCTCTCTCTTTTCTAGGATGAATCCAGGGCACCACATGGTTTACATTATTTTGATTTGTCATGTCTCCCCAGTTTCCTCTGCTCTGTGACAGTTTCTCAGTCTTTCCTTATTTTTCATGACCTTGACACTACTTTGTTTTTTGGAAGTGAGCCCTCCCTTAGGATTGGGGGGCATGGGGGGTAGGTGGGTTAAGCTCCATCTCCTCTGGGGGTATATCTACACAGATTATTTGGAACTTTTCTATAGGAAAGAGTTGTCTTTTCTCCTCCATTTATTTATTCATTCAGTCATTTATTTATATCAGTATGGGCTCATGTCTTTTTCTTTTACACATTGGGTTCTAATCCAATACTACATGAATTTTTTGTTGCTCAAGTTCTTCCAGCTTTGGCCATTGGGAGTTCTTGCAGGTTTGTTCCTGCATCCTGTGATATGCCCCATCCTTCAGTTTTGTTTGGGGTGTGTGTGTGTGTGTGTGTGTGTGTGTGTGTGTGTGTGTGTGTGTTGAGCACTTCCTTTGCTTTCTGACACTATGGTATGCTGCAGCCCCCTCTTTTTTTGTTTTTTACTAACCCCACTTCTAGAATCAGTTATTTCCCCAGGGAGCCTGGTGAGTCATTTGCTCTGGTTTGTTTTGTTTTGCTTTTATTATTTTTATTTTGTAAAACTGTGTTGAAATACACATAACATAATTTACCATTTTAATCATTTCTAAGTTTACAGTTCAGCGACATTAAATACATTCACATTGTTTTGCGACTGTCACCACTGGAATGTTTTCATCTTCTCAAATGAACCATTGGCTTTATTAGAAGAGATGTGTTTATCATAGGGGGTAAAATGAAACAAAGGAGATAAAGTGGAAGAAAATTGCTGCATGCCATTTCCCTGAAGCCTGCTCATCTTTCTGGACATTTTTTAGCCCTCACATTCCTCTGCGTGTTGTCTCTTTTGTACACATGAGGTCAGGCCAGACATTTGGTTCAGGAACCTGCTCTTTCCCCTTAATGACCTATATTGCCATGGTTACAAGCACTGCTACCAAGAACATCTTTGTGCACCTGTGTATTTCTACAGGGAAAAAATCCTAGAAGTGAACTTGTTAGGCTGGATTTTAGTGAATGTTGCCAAAGTGTCTTTTAAAATACAATAAGACAATAAAAGCAGCCTTTTCCTTCAACAGTTATTCATTCATTCATTCATTCATTTTGAGGCAGGGTCTGCTCTGTTGCCCATGCTGGAGTGCAGTAGTGCGATCCCGGCTCACTGCAGCCTCAATGTCCTGGACTCAAGCGATCCTCCCGCCTCGCCTCCCAAGTAGCTGGGATTGCAGATGTGTGCACCATCACACCTGGCTATATATGTTCTTTAATTTTTTTGTAGAGACAGGATCTCTCTACGTTGCCCAGGCTGATCTTGAACTCCTGGGCTCAAACGATCCTCCTGCCTCAGCCTCCCAGAGTCCTGGGATTACAGACGTGAGCCACCATGCCTGGCCTGCTCAACTTTTTAATGAGACTCTCATTCCAGGTGTACCTGGAGATAGTAAACTGCATGTATACCTTTTCTAAACTTGTACTTGGCTGGGCGGTAGTTAAGACCCCCAGCTCATCCCTGTTCCTGTCCTTGTATGTTTCCCAAGAAATTGCGTAGGTCCATGCCCACAGAAGAAGACTCAGAGTCAGAGGAGGGAGCAGGGTCCCTGGGTGTGTGGAATGGTCAATGTGGTGCAGGGCCCAGATTCCAGCCTGCTCTAGTCCTGCCTCAGGAATCCCTCTAGGGTGCCCAGGCCTTTATGGGTTGGTGTGGCCTCTTCTATGTCCAGAGGACACCTGTATTTTCTCCCTGGCTGTCCTGACTTAGTGCCTTAGCCCTCCTGTTGTTTAGGAAGCTAGAGAGCCCCCAAAGGGCCAACAGGAGAGCCTGGCTCACACAGAGCGGGAGGAGTGCTAAGGTCCTGCCAATGCCTCCATGGGACAGCCCAATCCAGGTCTGCAGGGAAAGGGACTTCCCTTTGTCAGGCTTCAGGAGGGACCTAAAACCCAACAGGATCTCCAGAAACCTGGCCCAGGGGGTGGGGATAGGTCCTTGGGGGTTGCTGTGGGGCAGCTGGTCTGGCTTGGAGGATATTAGAGCTGGACCCTTCTCTGCCTGGCCCTGAAGTTTGGCCTGGAGAGAAGTCTCCTCCAAGGTAGCTCAGACTGCAGAGATTGGCACCCTTAAGGAATAGTTCCCCGTATGTGTGAGAGACGTTGGACCAAAAGACACCACCAGCATCAGGAGGAGTCCTAGGGAGATAGAGGAGGCCAGGAAATCATTGCATCTGTCCCCTCTTTCCTGGCAAGAATTAGACATAGCACGCTCACTTGGCTGCTGGTGCCCCCTGTGGTAGGCACTGCAGGGAGGTAACCCTGCCTCCCAGAACCACTGTCCAGTGGAAGCAGGATGGACCTGCATGGCTGTGGCCATGGTTGACCTAGGCAGGACCTGAGATCCTATGGGTATCTAGAATGGGCCTATCTGCCTTTTACACAATGTGAGATCTTGGGCAAGTGACTTCATCTCTCTGGGCCTCAGTTTATGCATATGAGAAATGACAGATTAAGTGACCTTTTAAGTCCTTTCCTCAGATGGCTGCTGCTTCTGGACCGTAAAGGAGCCTAGAGTAGGAGGAGTCCTGTCAGGTGAGGTGGTTCGGAGAGACCATGTGGAGCTGCACCTTCCCCAGAACCCTCCAGATGGTAGCTTTGCCTTGCCTCTCAGATGTGTCTGGCCTCCTGTAAGTTGTATACCGTGCTGTCTTCGAGGGGGTGTTTCATCATGTGCTTTTCCCACTGGCTCCTGTGTAATGTCTGTGTGCAGCAGTTGGAGCTCTGCCACACAGATCATGGGGCGGTGTTTTTACTCCTGTGCCCTCTGCCCCTGAGTCAGGCTTTTCTCCCTTGGATTTTGGGCAAAGCTTCCTTGTGTGTCTTCACCCAATTTTTTTTTCCTGTAGCCCCCCAGAAGATGTGATCAGCTGTCCATTGTTACTGAGAGATGGGAGTTTTAAATTTTTCAACACCAAACAAGTACAGAAGTGTTAGAAAGCAAGCAACGGCCCTCCTCCTCTTCCACTTCACAGGGGTAAAACCTTGTTAACAGGTCGGTGGGTGCATCTGCCAGACCTCTTCATGCATTTTATAGTCACTTAAAATGACGTGCAAATTTACTCCCTTCTCTCTTTCTTTTTTTGTTTTTGTTTTTGTTTGCTGAAATGGGATCATATAATAGATATCATTTTGCAGGTTTTCAGTCTTAACGTCATCTCTGTTATCCCCAAAAATTCATATTATTCTTCTTTAGCAGTAGAGTAGTAAGAGATACAGTTTCTTCAAGGTGTGATATGAATGCCTGTGTCTGAGGGGTACCCACCTGCTTACATATACACACACACAGTGACATCAGGCATCTTGGTGGTTCAGGTGACTCAGCACCTGAACGAAGATGAGAGCCCGTGCCAAGAAGAGGCCAGGTGCCCAGCTCTAATGCCTGGCACATGGGAGGCCCTGGCAGATACTTACTGGGTGAAGGAATGTACCAAAGTCACTGCAGGATAGAGGTCGGGGATGCCAGACTTGAAAACAGGTCTCTTTGAATATCTGTCTATCTGTCTGTTTTTCTGTCTGTTTTTTTTGCTTTGGAAGGGAACAAAATCCATGAAGTCTGCCTGTTTCCTTTTGCTAACCTGGCAATGCTGAAGGACCCCAGCATCTGTGCAGTCAGTGTCTGAAGATGATCTGCCCAGGGCTGCCCCCTGAGGCGTCCTGGGGGAACTGTGTGTGGTGGGATTTGTCCCTTCAGTCGCTTCGAGTTCTCTGCTGACCTTGACTCTTCATGGCTTCATGACTAGGACTTTGATTTTTCCCTGAGGAAAACACATACACAGATCGTTTGTGTGTGCAGCCATCTGTGTGTATAATCTCCTCCTTCCTTTACCATATTGCTTTCCTAGGGGCCATCCCTGCAGGGTTATCTAAATACCATTTCAGCTTTTGTCTTTTGGTTGGATAGTGTTTGTGGTCTTAAAATTTCCAGGAAATAATGCCTTTTCTACGAGAGGAAGAGAGGGGATAGACGTGGATGTGGTCACACAGCACGGCAGCTGCATTTCCAGGTTCTTGGTGTGGCTGAGGTGGCCCTGCATGGGTTTCTTTCTGTTCCCACCTGAGTCAGATGTCAGCCCTGTGCAGCTCCAAGCCTGCTCGGTGCTGCATGCCTGACCTGTGGCCCCTCGTCTCTTCTCTGTCTGTAGATGTTGGAGACAGAACTTGGGCGATGCCTCCATGTGTTTGCCCAACCGTTAGACCTTCATCTAGAGCAGCGCTGTTCAAAACGTTCCGTGTTGTCCATTCAGTGTGGCAGTCATTAGCCACATGTGGCTTGGGGACACTTGAAATGTGTGTAGTGCAACTGAGAAACTGAAATTCACGTTTTATTTTATTGTAATGAATTTTAATTTGAATAGACATCTGGCTATGACTGCATTGGCCAGGGCCCTGTGGTGAGAGCTGGGATGCTGAAGACACCTTCCTCTGCCCCAGGAGCGCACAGACTGGGGTGAAACAGGAAGTGAGAGCCCCAGATGCCCTGATGGCTCCAGGATGGGATCTGTTGTTTCCAGTGGGCCGACTTGTTCTGGGTAATCAGGGAAAGACGGATGTCCAGGAAGGCAAGAGCACACCAGGCGGAGGGAACAATATCTGCAGAGACCCTGAGGAGGAGGAAATCAGAGTCATCCTCATCGGAAGCGCAGGAGGAGGAGTCTGTGAGGAGGCTGGCGGGAAGCCGGGGTGGATTCCTGCAGCTCTCCCTGTGTGCAGTGTAGGGGTTGAGGCTCCTCTTGGGGGATAGTGGAAGCATGTGTGAGAGAGGGGGAGGAATTCCAAATGAACATTAGAATTGTTTAAAGGAAAATAAAACTCCTACCAAGAAGGCTGCATTCATTCACATGGGAATGGGCTGAGAGTGACGGGGTGAGGAGCGCTGCCTCCCTCATGGCTGGAGGGTGGAAGGGCTGGGGATAGGAAATGAGATGGGAGCGAGCTCAGAGGCAGGGCCCCGCCCCACTCCCGGTCATTTGGAGTCGCACACTGTGGCTGTTTCCAGCTGCGCCCTGTCCCACAGGTTACATCTAAAAGTCACAGCTTCATATTCTGGCGGCAGCTGGGGAAATGATTTCAAAGCCTGCTGGCATGGAGCCATTTTTTTTTCTTTAGCAATTTCCCGGTTGGAAGTTGTTGAAAGGAAGTGGCAAGCGCTGCCTGAGCAGTTCTAGCTGGGAGAGGTGGGTGCTGCAGAGTCTGGGATTCCAGGGTGAAAGCCACAGATTCCCCTGAATAAGCTCTTACTGCTGGTGGTTCCTGAACTGAAGATGCAGGCAGATCTGGTAAGGGGATTTTTGTTGTGATCCTGACTGGGCATGTTTCTCTTTCCCCTCTCCTCTATCCTTGCGTTCCTGTGTTTAAGACGAGGCCTTCTCCCAGGGATGGGAGAGAAAGCTACCTGACTCCAGCCACCATTTGGTTTCCCAGTGGCTGGGGGTGGCTGGAGCTCTGTGTGGACACCGGGAATGTAGGCTGTATGAGGCAGGAGGATGTGTGAGACCTAATCAGGAAAGCAAACCCGTGTTTGGCTCCTTGGGTGCAGCTTGAGTCGGCATGACTATGGCCCTCATTCCTAGCCTCTCCTTCCCACCCCTCCTCCTGTCGGCCCCACACTCTCTCTTTGAGAGCCAGAGGCCCAGCTGTTCTTACAGCCTTGCTCTTTGGCAACTGGGAGCCTCCCCAGGAAGCAACACACACCCTCACGCAGCCTCCTGGAGGGATCTGTGCTGATGTGTCAGCCCAGCAGCGCAGGGCTGCCTTGGTACCAGCCCAGTGGGGGCTGGGCCACACGGCTCTCCACTTAGGATGGGGAAATGGAGGCCAGTGGTGGACTGGCATGCCTGAATCACCTAGCCAGTCAGGAGAGGAGCTGAAGTTGGAGCATGGAAGGAAGGGGCAAGCTACAAGGCCAGCATTGTATAGATGTTTTCCTGTTTCATCCTTATCCCTAGGGCAGGAGAGAGGGAGATATGATGATCACCTGCGAGCTGATGGCAGGATGAGGATTCAAACCCAGGTCCTTGTACTTCCTTCTCATACACAATTTTGTCATCTAATATCTTACCCAGAATAGTGTAGTCTGGGGCTACTGTATGGTATGTAGTTGTGTAAATGAATTGACTGCCTACCTTTGTGTGTGCTCGCATGTGTCTCTCTCTCTTTCTGTCTTCCCCCCTCATTTCTTCTTTCCTTTACATTCACTAGTTACTCATATGCACCCATTGATCACTTACCTTTTGCCTGGTACCTTGATTAATTATCACAGAGGATTAATTGATGAGCAAAATAGTCTGTCCTGGACGCTTACCTCTAGTGTGATGCACATGTCTGCAAATAACCAGGGTGCACAGCTGACTGGTGGCCCCAAGGAGCGGGGAAGGGATGAAGCATGGTCAGGTACAGAGCTGAGGTCCTATTTCCATTCAGTTATTTATTCACGCACTGAGTGTGTATTTAGCACCTGTTGTGTGCTTGGCACTGTTCTAGGCACCGAACATGAGTTCCTGTTCTTCTGCAACTGGCAGACATCACTTTCTCCAACAGATGAAGTCATTAATTTTTCTGATCTTGAGCCAAAGGTACCCACTTCTCAGGGTGGGGGTTCCCCTGGTTTCATGAAATCTGAAAACTCGTGAGCATGAATGTCCCGCTTAGTCCTGTACTGCTTGGTATTTGTTTGTTTGTTTGTCTGTTGTTTATTTGTGGCAGGGTCTTGCTCTGTCTCCCAGGCTGGAGTACAGTAACTCTATCTTGGCTCACTGCAGCCTCTGCCTCCCAGGTTCAAGTGATTCTCCTGCCTCAGCCTCCTGAGTAGCTGAGACCACAGGAACGTGCCACTACACCCAGCTAATTTTTGTATTTTTAGTAGAGACGGGTTTTTTCCATGTTGGCCAGGCTAGTCTTGAACTCCAGTCCTCAAGTCCTCCCACAGTGCTGGGATTACAGGCGTGAGCCACCAGGCCCGGCCTTGCTTGGTGTTTTTCATCAATCCTTTGGATTTCTGGGCTGTCCAGTCCAGTGAAAACTGACTAGACTAGAAGCACCATGCTGGCAGGGACCTTTCTATTTCGTTCACAGCTCTATCCCCAGTGCCTGGCATGTGGTGGGTGTTCTTGTTGAATGACTGGATTCAAATAACGTTATCCAAAGAATTTTGGTCTCTTGGGCCAAGGCACCTCAGGAGCTCTCTTCTGGGCCAGTGAAGGTTGCATTACAAGGATCTCTGGGGAGGGTGAAGACGAGGTAGCTGCTGGTGGCCTGCCAAATCCCAGGGCTCCCAAGCTGCCTCGGGCTTCTGTTGGTAACAGAACTTGAGCAGGACTGTGTGCCTGTAGCCCTGCCATGAGATGGCTTTGGTATCGTGTGGGCCTGAGCCCCCTCTGGGGACTACCTGGCTTCGGAATGGTCAGCTTGTGTTTGTTCCCACCTCCTCCTAGGACCACCTCAAAGGCAAGATTGCTCTAGAACAGATCTGACTATGGCCAGATATCACTGGGAAACATTTATGTCAACACTGCACTGTTTTAAATATTATAAAGCAGCAATCTCTTATTACCCTTCTTTTAAAAAAAAAACCAGCACATAAATTTCAGTGGCCTCTGCTCCTAGCTATGTACCTTTGAGGGAGGCCACAGGATTGGAAAACAAAATTGTTTGAGTGTCACCTCTGGAAGTAAATGGCCTTGGAGGCAGACAAAATTTTGACAGAATTCTTCCTTTGCCACTTGCCAGCATTGTGACCTTGGACAGGTCCCTTGACTTCTCTGAGCTGCTCTTGCTGGAAACCTGAGAGTCGTTTCCAACTCATTCTGCTTCCTCAATGTCCATGTGGAATCAACTAGCAAATCCTACTGGCTCTGTGTCCAAGTATGGGTCTCAAGTCCTTCTGCATCTCTTATCCATCACTGCCACCTCCCTGGTCCTGACTAGTTCTTGGACTGTTGCAGTTTCTTTCCCCTGTTGCTCCCTATACCCACTCTTTACCCTTTTCATTTCATTCTTCATGGGCTAAGAGCAGTTTTAGCAAATCTGGTTATCTCACTTTCTTACTTTTTCTTTTTCCTTTCTCCTTTCCTGTTTCCTTTTCTTTCCATTTTCCTTTTCTTTCTCTTGCTGCCCAGGCTGAAGTGCAGTGGTGTAATCATGGCCCACTGCAGCCTTCAACTCCTGGACTCAAGCTATTTTCCTGCTCCCCAGTAGCTAGGACTACAGGTGTGCACCACTGTGCCCAGCTGTGTTTTTATTTTTTAGTTGAGATTGGGTCTCGCTCTGTTGCCTGAAGCTGGTCTCAAACTCCTGGCTTCAAGTGATTCTCCCACTTGGCCTCCCCAAGTGTGAGGATTACAGGCATGAGCCACCGAGCCTGGCTAGATAGTTCTGAGTTAAATAATCCGTCAGTGTCTTGTTAACGCTTAACACAAAATCCAAACCCTTCACCTACCTTTGAGGCCCCTTAAGTATTCAGTATCTGCCACCTTCTTCCACGTCATCTCCTGCCTTTCCTCACTCTGCCGCCGGCAGGAGAACGCATCAAATGGTTTCCTGTCTTAGCCCAGGGCCTTTGTATGTTCTGTTTCCTCTGCCTGGAAGTTGCTGTACCCTTGTGGCTAGTGCCATCTCATCCTCTGACCGGGGCTTAGAGGTCAGCTCTTTAGAGAGGCCACCTTGTCTAAGCTTAGAGGCCTGCTATACCTGCCGCTTTATCTCAACATGCTCTTTCCTTTTAAGCACTTATTCACAACTTCAGTTACGTATTTTAGCTATTTTTTGATTTGTACAGTTGGTATTCAGTGGCATTTTGTTTGTTTGTTTGTTTGTTTTTGAGACGGAGTTTCACCCTTGTTGCCCAGGCTGGAGTGCAATGGCGCGATCTCGGGTCACTGCAACCTTCACCTCCCAGGTTCAAGCTATTTTTCTGCCTCAGCCTCCCAAGTAGCTGAGATTACAGACACCCACCACTATGCGCGGCTAATTTTTTTGTATTTTTAGTAAAGACGGGATTTCACCATGTTGACCAGGCTGGTCTTGAACCCCTGAACTCAGGTGACCTACCTGCCTCAGCCTCCCAAAGTGTTGGGATTATAGGCGTGAGCCATCACACCTGGCCTTCAGTAACTATTTGTTGACCGGATGGGATGGATAGATGGACAAGTGGAAGAATGACATGGCACTGGAGTTCATAGTAAGTACTTACTTAATTGAAGTTATTATATTCTTCTGTTCCTAGTTAGAACTTTTTTCAAAGCAAGTTCAGATACCTGTTGGCTTAAAACAGAGACTTACCAGTTTAGGCAATACAAATCCAAGGAAGTCTGGGTGCAGGGGCTCAGGTGATGCCATTAGGATGTGCCAGTGGGACAGGCTTGCTCCACATGGCAGGTATGAAGGGCACAGGCAGCTGAGCCTCACTACCTTTTGCTGTAGTCATGGTTGTCCATGAAGGGCTGTTTCCCTTGGCTGAAAAATAGCTGAAAAATCGCAGAGAAGGCTCTGATTGACTTGGCTTTGACCACATGCTCATACTGTAACCAATCACTGGGCTAAGAAGATGGAAGACCCTACCCCCACCCCCACCCCCAACAGGCTCAGAAGGTTTAGCCTTGGTGGAGAGGCCAGGCCTGGGGGTCACGGCCACCTGTACTGAGGAAATGGATTCTTGGAGGAAAGACAGGCCTGATAACAGAAGGCAGAGACCTGTAGAAACTTTTCCTCCCTCAGAGATGATTTGTCAGAGGCTTCGCAGCTCTGCAGGAAGGGTCTTCAGAGATCGTGTTTCTAGAATACAGTAGGTGAGCCCACCCTCCAGTTTTTGTTTTTAATAACATTTCTCATTTCCCTCACTATGAAATCAATGTTTATTTTAGAAAATAATAGGCAAAGAAAACCCCGCTCAGAGACAACCATTGGCTCTTAGCTTTTTAGGTGTCTTCTTAATATCCAGTAATTTACATATATGTTTATTTTCAAAGTGTGTAAAGTATAGAAATTACAGAAAACAATAACAGCTACCATTTATTATGGTTTGCACTGTAATCTTACTACTCAAAGGAAACACGGTAAACCATTTGATGCATTTCCTTCCAGTCAACCAACTTTGCTAGGCTTCTCTTTTTCTTTTTCTTTGTAGTTTATTTATTAATTTATGCTGTAATTCTTTAGCAGGCACTCCCATTGTGCCTGGGACTGAACTGTGAGCTTTACGTGGAATCTCATTCAGTCCTCCCAGTAACTGTATGAGGAGGCAATGCTTTTATCCTCAATATAAAATAGACATGGATAAACTACGTGAAATTGTCACTTGCCTGAGGTCACCTAAATGTTAAGTGGTGGAGCTGGGATTCATATCCAGGAGTGGGTTATGAAATACACACACACTCTCTTTCCCTCTCTCTCTGTCTCTAAATGGTCTTAGGTAGGACCATGTCATACATGCCCTCTGAAATGCCTGAGCATCTTGCCTTTTTAATTGTATTACATTTATTATTATTATATTTATTTGTTTTTGAGATGGGATCTCACCCTGTCACCCAGGCTGGAGTGCATTGGCACAATCTTGGCTCACTGCATCCTCCATCTTTTGGCCTCAAGCAATCCCCTTACCTTAGTCTCCCGAGTAGCTGGGACTATACGCATGCCACCACACCAGGCTAATTTTTTTGTATTTTTGGTAGAGACAGGCCTTTGCCATGTTACCCAGGCTGGTCTCCAACTCCTGAACTCTAGCAATCTGCCTGCCTCAGCCTCCCAAAGTGTTGGGATTACAGGTGTGAGCCACCGCACCTGGCCACTAATTATTACTTTAAAGTAGCATTCTGTGAATCTAATTATGAACATCCATTGTAGGAAAATTTAAAAATACAGAAAAGTTTGAAAATAAAATAAAACCCCCACATAAGCCTGCCAGCCACTGATAGCACTTAACTGTTTCTACATTTATTTTTTCATTTGCGTGGACTCAGGTTCACGGTTTCTGGTGTAGACCTCTAGGAGTTTTGACAGCCGAGCATCCTTTTGAAG